CAACTTAATTCCCAACTCTTCCATTTAGCTTTTGTAGCTCACACAGCTGAAGAATTTTTTTAAATGCAAGATCCTTTCTAACACAGGCTTGGTCGGGAAGCAGGAGCGATCGCTCTCGAATACTGACCATGGAAATTATATTTACTTGCGAAAAACTGGCCAGGTTTTTTTGAATCATTTTGAGAACATTTAAGTTTATTTCCATGTATGTCCGAAACAAAATATTTTTGTTTTACGGACATACATGGAAACATAAAAAACTTGAATGTTATCAAAACATCTTGGTGCGGAAGAATAAAAAGAATATTTGCAAACACTAAAAACCCGACAAATTAACGAATAAACTAATTCTATTGGTTCAAAAAATACACTGACTAAGCGAAACAAAGTATTCTGTTGTAATGTTTTAGAAATTGTATTATCCACGACTTGTTACGTTTTGAGATTTCTAGGATAAATTATTTTAAGATTATATTATCAATACTATAGCTCATTCTAAGAGCCACATCTGCAAAGCCGTAAACCTTATAAACTATTATTATTTGTTTACAATAAATGTTTTTTTTTTTTTATTTGCATTCACTCCTAACAAGGCTGCAAGCAACCACTATTAAGTTGGGAGTTACTAGGAAAAAAAAAGAACAGAGTTATAGAGCAAGGAAACGGTTGACAGAAGACTTGAAAAGTTGAAGGTTGTATGAGTCAGAAAAAAAACATGAAGATGGGAGAGAGTTCCAAAGGATTGAAGTGCAGGGAAAAAAACTAGATGAAAACGTTTTTAGAGCATGCAGGGACAGATACAATACAGAAAAAAGGAGAAGATTTTTTGTCAAGACAGGAGTATAAAGTTGAAACATCAGCAAAAAGAGCTACTTTAGATGAAAGGTTGTCAAGTTGTTATATATATATATTATGTAAATTTTCAAAATTTTAATAGTTTATTATAACTTATAGATTTTATTAGTATATTCTTATTTTTTATTTATGTATTTTTTATGTAAATGTAATTTTGTGTATCTGTTTTTTATTTTAATGAATTTCTTTTAAAACAATTTTTATGTTTAATTTGTAAACAAAATAATTGCGTTTTCAATAAAGCTATTAATAATCATTTAAGTTAAAAAAATTATTATGTAACAAACATATAAGAAGTTTCTGGTTATTAAGCACAAACTATGCATACAAAGTAACTCGCGGATGAACAAGCACTGCGCCTGAGGTCACGACAGAACATAAATATATATACCAAGTTATTAGATATAAAGAAAAGTTTCTAGATATAAGTTTACTAATTATTTTTGCTTAGGTTGCCATTCTTAAAAACTCGTTATACTTTTTTCTGCTTTAAATACTAATTAAAATTAAAAAACCCACTCACTAAACATCATCAGCGATATTGTGAAGCAGTTTCACTTCCTCGTCATAAAGTATTTTTAACCTTTATAGTTGATTTCTATCTAGTTGATTTAGTTTCTATAGTAATTCAATGATTTAATTATTTCATTTGTTTATCTTACTAAGAAGAATTATTTCAAATATGTTAAACTTTTCAAACTACGCCAAACATAAAATAGGTATTAAAAAAATTAACTTTTTTATTTATAAATTAATTTAGCTTAAATAAAACTTAGATAAAATTTGCAAACTTTGTTAAATAAAGAAAACTTGTTTCCTTTTTAAACAATCGTAGGATGTTACTTTATATAAATAACGTCGCTTAATTTTATAGAAAAATTATAAAAGAGCAATGTTTCAAAAATATTTGTTCTAAACGTAATTTATTTTGCTTTAAGTTTTTTCGCATTATTTTTTTTTCCTAATTTTTTTTTTTTTTTTTTTTTGTAATTGTCTCTCGTTGGTTCAATTATATTTAGCGCATTTTTTTTTTGCTTTTTGAAATATTCTGAAAATGACTAAAAAATCTGGCTAGCTTTTTGCAACTAAATATCATTTCCGTGGTCAGCAATTGAAAGCGATCACTCCTGCTTCCCGACCTAGCTTGCTTTAATAACAAAATATGACACCCAAACAAGTCTGTTTAATTCTTCTTGGTTATTCTCAATAGTTCATAAAATTGATGTTGATAAAGTTTTCTCAAGACTTGGAGCTATATTGTGAAAGTTCTCTTGATATTTAGAAATACAGGCTTTATGCCAATCATCTTTATTGTGGCGTAACAAGTATGTTCAATTCCAAAATTTACATCCCATTGTTACTGAATTGGTTGCATTGCTATTATATGGATACTTTTGGAAAACTCAACAAGAGAAACACTCATTTGATTTGTCAATATGAATCCAGCTTAGTTGTTGCACGTGTTTTTTATTGCTTGGCAGCAATCCATTTATGGAGTTCCAAAACATAAATTCAATATTTTTTGGCCATAAATTCAATTTACCAAAGTCATAGCATAATCCAAGTTGCACTTTTTTTTTTTGCATGCTTAGTTTCTCTCTCTTCTTCTCTTTTACATTTAATGCTACGCTCCACTGTACCATCTTTGTTTAACATCGAAAAAGATGCTTAGTTGTTTTGACATTTTTTTAAAACCTATAAAAATAATATATTAAGTATTTAATAATAAGTTAATAAAAATATCATATTAATGGTGGCGTTAAACGCACAATAAAAAATTAAAACTATTATAAACATAATTTTATATATTCTATTAGATTATGTATTTCTTTGGCAAAACTTAAAAAAACAAATTTTAACTTTTAAAAGTACTTAAGTGTTTTTAATATGCAAACAAGCATTAACTCACTTTAAAGAAAATAAGAAAATTTAAAAAGAAAGCATGCTATTGAAGAAAGCAATCGTTAGGTTTAAGCATGGTTTATTTTAAAGTAATTGCAAATGCAGTCATTTTAAGTAAAATTTTGAATGCTTTTAAAAAGGCATGCAAAAACCATGCTCGAACATAATTACTTTGTTCATTCTATTGAAGAAAGTAGTTTCAGTGTGGTTTCTTTTAAAGTCTTTGAAAATTGGTTTAAAATTTTTGTAACTATTTTTTATTGTAAATATGCTTTTTATAATAAATAAAAAACAATCAATCACTTAATTATTTGGAGCAAAAAAAGTGTTGAAGTAATGCGTTTATTTTGAAATATTTTAGACAAACACCAACATTTTCGATTAATAATTAAAGAACAGTTTTATACATTAAGTGAGTTACAGCACATAATTACTTTTCACCCCTTTTTATTGTCCTGAAGTAAAAATGAGCTTGCTAAAACAGCTAAAAATAGCTAAAATAAACAAAAAATTAGATATTTTGGTGAAACCTTTTTTCCAAAGTTCGTTTACTGTATCTGTCCCTGCATGCTCTAAAAACTTTTTCATCTAGTTTTTTTACCTGCACTTCAATCCTTTGGAACTTTTTGTAAAATCTTTTTTTTTAATAAAAAAAAAGCATAAAAAAAATAAAAAAATAAAAATCTTTTTTTTAGGCAACAATACCCCTCTAGCAGTAGTAAATGACTGGGGCTGGTATTTGCTTGTGGCCAAGGTTGGTTCTATGAACGGGATTGCATAAACATTGGTGCATATTGACTTGCTTTTATATATCATACCAATATTTATACAGCCCTAACAATAAACCCGGCTTCGGCCCAGGTTAAATACCAGCCCCAGTCATTTGCTATCTAGCAGTACCAAAACAGGTATGGAGTTTTCCCTGCTAATGGCCATACTCTTCCTGACATTTCAGTTAAACAGATTAACCCATTATTAGATACTCAAATCACTCTGGCTTCCCATGCTAAAGTCAATGCTCAATTAAACTCTTTTATAGCTTGTGTTTCAAACAACATTTCTACCAGACGTACAAAAGTGCTCTCCAGAGCTCTCTAGGATTCTTGCCAAATTAATAATAAATGCTAAATAAATGGTTCCAATTTTTAAAAAATCTAGAAAACACTCCGACCTTTTCAACTATCCTACGATTAGTCTTCTCTTTATTATTAGTTTCTATATATAAATTTTTTGAGATTATTAAATCATTGCTTTTTAACTGCAGTAACCAAGTTATCCTTGAAGGCTTACACTCTTCTTCCTTTCCAGTAACTTTAGTGCGTTCAAAAGATTCAAGGTTCTATATTTGCTCCTGTATTATTTCTTATCTACAACAGGGTTTTTCTTGACAATCTAATACCTAAAATGGCTCTACTTGCTGACAACTTAACTTTATACTTGTCTTTACAAAAAAAACCTTTATCTTTTGATCGCCTAGATTTTTATCTATCAGAATACATAATAATTTAATTTTTATCAGAATACAGATTTTTAATCTCTCTTCTGTGAAAGCTTGCAGTGCCTTGCTGATTTAAATTGAAACAAAACTCAGTTATTTACTGCAAATAACTATATCACAATTTTGTTGACATTTCTATATTAACGAATAACAACCCTCTCACTCTCAGACAAGGTTTAAAAGCACATGGTTAATGCAGCTAAACCTGTTTTATCTGCCAAGCTTGAACCACTCTACCATCGTTGTAAGTTTGCATCCATTTCTTTTTTCTATATATACTATCTACTTCTTTTTTCTATATATCGTGACATGATAATAGTTCAAACAAGCCATTATCTCTAGTTCAATCAATCAAAATTCATTCTCATTTGGCTTGTCATTCAACAAAGTTGCATCCTTTTACTGAATTTGTCCCTTTGTGCTATAAAAAATTTTATTTATCGAACCCTATATATATTTTAAATTTGATTTAAAATTTAAATCTAAATAAGGTTTTTTATGTTTAACTCTATGCTCTACATTCTAGTTATAATATATATGTAGTTATAATCTGTAATATCTTTTCATTTTTTTTTAACTTTTGGGTTATTATCTAAAAGCAATGAGTTATGTTTTACGTTATATTTATAATAAAACAACTTACATTACATTTTTTTAAAAAAAAAGCATGTTTATCATCTTGCTTTTTCATCAAGTCTTTGAGTTTAAAACATTCATCTTCAACAAAATTCTTTTCTTTATGTACTTTTATCTCAGTCATTTCATTTTCTTTAAGCAAGCATCTCTGTACCTGTACTTAAAATTTATCATACTAACTACATAAGTCATATTTGACATAATAAAACTAATTTAAATTTATACTAACTAAATAAATCATATTTATTATAATTTCATTAACTTAAATTAACATAAATGCAAAATATTGATAATTATTAATATGCAATAAAATATTGATATTCCTACTTTTTCCCCTTATGATAATTCAATGAGGTTCAGGTTTACTTTGGTTTACATGATAATTCTTACAGTTACTTCATATAATAAAAAATGAGATGCTTCACAGCAATATGAGGGTTTGAAGAAATGGCTTTAAAACTATGCTTTAAATTAAACAAAATGTTATTTATCAACCTTGACAATTTTACAAAAACTTTACAATTTTAAAAACCACAATTTGTGCAAAAGAATAGATGTAAAAATAAATATAGCAAAAAACCTGCAATTATAATAATAATGCAAAGAAATTTAGTAAATCTGAGAAAATATTTGAAAAACAAAATAAAAGATTGGGTTATGTCAGAGTCAATATAAAAAACAAAATATTTTTAAATTTACTATTTTTGTTTATATATAAGCAAGTTATATTTGCAGACTTTATTATTAAGGGTATATTACCATAATTGTTAAATATTTCCATCATAAGGTTTCCAATATTATTTTTTTATTTTTAATTGCTCAAAAAAATGATAATTTAATTATTAATTTGATATTATCTAATCAACATATTTAGTAGCACTGGGTAGCCAGTGTAATGGGATATTTAGAATGATTAATGGGATATCCAGAAGTAATAATAATTGTGCTTAAATTCCTTTAAAAAAAATTGTATTAATATATAGCTATAATAATGTATAGCTCATTCATATATCTAGCTTTTAATTATGTACCAAATAAACATAACACACTTTATTTTGAAACTAGCATATGTGGTTAGTTTGTTAGCAAAAACACTTTTAAAAAAATCTAACATAGATTTTAGCTTATTGTGAACTGGGAAAATCAGTCAAGAAAAACTACAATAAATGGACTTAACCCACCTAGTTGATGCTCTTTTGCACATGATTGTCTGGAGATAAGTAAATTGATTTAAACACAGTGTTGAAGATCATGACTGGAGTTAAATAAGACAAGATGGCAGCAAACAATTAACTTTTCCATGAATAAGCTTTGAAGAATCTTCAAGAACAACTATCCAGAAAAGGCTAATTTGAGTGTGAATGCGTAGTTGCAACCATGTTTAAATGAACATTCTGACTTTTTGTTCAGCTGTCATGATAAGAAAAAAAACCTACATCAAAGACTGCCTTAAACCTTGTGTTATGTTATAAAGAAGCATCACCTAATATCAGGCATCCATGAAAGTTCTAACAGCAAAAAACCTTGTTACAAAAATTGTCATAAAGTACTTAAACAGCAAGGGCATCACATTACTAACTATGCTGCATACTAGCTGATACGACATCCTTTTGATTTTTGGCTTTTAAACAAAATCAAGCAAAGTAAACACCTTTATGGTCAGGCAGGTGACCATAAAGATGTTTCAAGCCTAAAATAGTGGATTAAAAATATTGTTGCCCAAATACCCAAATAAGAGCAATTAAAAACACTTATGAAGTATATTTAGTAAATGCAAATATGTAAAATATCAATGGTAAATACTTAGAACATTTGATTTATTAACATTTTACTATTTTGTATTTTAAATTAATTATATCATTACTTCTAGATACCCTTAGGTATGTAACTTTTTTTATGTTTTAATTAGAAACTAAGTCTAATAAATTTTTGATAATAATTCAAAAGGTCTAAAAATGTAAAAATTAATATTTAAAATATCAATTACTTTGTCTTGATTGAAGATATTTCAGGAACTCTTTGATTTCTTTCAAAAGCTCTTCATCAATTCTATTTTTCAATATTTTTTTAAATAATGATGTAAGTTTAGTAAACAACAATTTACTGGACACAGCCCCTTTCTCAGAAATATTGTGTATTCTAAAACTGGTATCTTTAGTAAAAGTATCACCATTAATTGCATCAATTTTGTAATTTGTTTGATGATCCTGAAAAAATCATTTTAAAATAATGAAATCTTAAATATTTATTAAAATTTAAAAAAATCCTATACAAAAGCACAAAATACTAAAGTAGAAACAGTCTTTCTAATTTTCTAATGTAGTAGCAATTTGAAGAAAACGACTAAAAAGCATATTAAGCATATGCGTCATTAAAGAGATCTTGAATCAAATAAAATATTATAAAGGAGCATTAGAAATTATGAATTAAATAAAACTTAACTTTATGTATATATATACTTCTTTTTTAACTTTTAATTTATATACACAATCGAGATTGCAATGAAGATGTTCAAACTTCATTGCAACCTTAACTATGTCCAACAAGATGTTCCAGCTTCAAACTCAAATAGTTAATCAAAATTGCAAACTCAAATAGTATAACTTAAAAAATTTGAATCAACCAAGAGACTTTGAGCACAGAGACCAAAATGATTAAGAATAGAAAGTTAAGTAATTTTAAGTGTTTAACTGTTTTAGAATGTTTTTGTATTTTTTTTTTTTTAAATGAACAAAGTTTCAAATTATAAGCAAAAAAACAAAAAAATTAATTCCAATATATTCTAATAATTATAATAATATAATAATAATTATAATAATCTAAACTTTAAATATCCTAGCACTCCAACTCCATCAGTTTTTCCCTTTTGAACGTTTTTTTTAATAAATGCAGGTAGAAAAGGTTAACTCTACTGAATATAACCATAAAAGGTGTATAGCCATAAAAAATTAACTTTACTGAAAGGCCAATCTTATGTCTATAAATTTTGAAAAAATATTTTGAAAAAACTATACTTATATATATATATATATATATATATATATATATATATATATATATATATATATATATATATATATATATATATCTATATGTATATATATATATATATATATATATATATATATATATATATATATATATATATATATATATATATATATATATATATATATATATATATATATATATATATATATATATATATATATATATATATATATATATATATATATATATATATATATATGTATATATAGGGTAAAGGAAGGTATATTCGTGATATATGTAATTTCGTGATATTTCTTTCGGCATTTGTAGCGAACATACCTATTAGTCAAAAACATCGATATTGCGTCAAATGGTACTCGGGGTACTACTGTCGATTCACAAATAGTCGTTGGGTGCGTGTGATACGTCAATTGTTTACTATCAGTTTGTACATTCTTTAGCATTATTTTACATGCGTTCAGCACATTTGTTTGGAGTACTTGTCCAACATTTTTATTTCCAGACTTGTGTTTTAAGGTAAGTAAATTATTTTTATTAAATATTAAACTAGAAAACATGCTTGATTTAATGGTAAAACTTTTGTTTTTTTATTAACTTCCTATAACTTATGATTCCTTATCGCAGTTACACATTTTCTTAACGTTTTCACCTCAAATGAATTTACATTTTTAATGGTTTAAATTTTTTATTGATTCTATTCCAAGTGAACGACCTGTGATATTATTCATGGATTCACATGCATCACACATTAACATGGATGTTATATTACTTGCAAAAGAAAATGAAATATATTTATTTACATTTCCAGCTCATACTAGTCATTTATTACAACCACTAGATGTAGGAATATACAAGCCACTTAAGTCAAACTGGGCCACTAGCTTAAATGACTTTATGAGGGAAAATCCTGGAGAAAAACCAAATCGGACAACTTTTCATACAATATTGAATCCAGCATTTATTAAAAGCTTTTCTAAAAAAAATATAGAAAATGCATTTAAAAAAAGTGGCATTTGCCCTTTAAATAAAAATGCCATTCCTCCAGAAGCAATAGCTCCATCTCAATTGACAAACAGAGAGATTCAAAGTACAGAAATTCAACCACACAGTAATACTGCTATACAAACATTGTTAACTATTCCATCTGTAGAGCCAACCACACCTAACCCTAATAGGCCAAAAAGGGATTCAAGTGCAAAGTGTCTGACTCCTCCTGATCAACCTATTCCATCAACTTCAAAGGATTCTATTCCTGTATGTTCTAAAAAAAGTAAAAAAAATAAAAATGCTTCAAAAGATGATGATTGAGAGTGCGGTGTTTGTAAAAAAAGTTACAACAGTGATGTAAAAAAAAAAAATGGAAAAAAATGGGTGCAGTGTTCCTATTGTTTAGTACCTTATCATGAGAGTTGTCAAACATATGAGGACATTGGTGAAGTATTTATGTGTGATACATGTTGTCAACAAGAATGTGATTTAGAAAAATAAGTTAATCAGATATAAGTATGGTTAATATTATAGTTATTATATTAAGAGTTTTTTGTAGGTCTGTTATTTTATTTTCTAAGCTACCTATGTTAAAAGTATATTTTTTTTATATATAAATATAAAGTAATGAAAGCATTATTATAATTTTGTTAACTTATAAGCCTGACTATATTTATATTTTATGAACTTAAAGTCTGATTGAATAGTTATGAATTCAAAACAAGTGTTGATATTTTTTGTTATATTATACCAGATGTTATACTTAATTAATAAAGAAAAATTTAAATATTATTGTGTACTCACGAAATTACCTAACCACTATCACGAAATTAAATATCATATCACAAAATTACCTAACTTTTCTCAATGACTTTTGAGCTTTTATAAAAACTTATCAAAGAACTTAAAATCCCAAAACTGCATAGATTCTAGTAACTTTACTCTATGTACATCAAACAATTAAAGTAATTAAGTAAAATTACTGAAATTGACTTTGTAATTACACATCTAGTTAATTTATCACGAACATACCTTCCTTTACCCTATAGTGCTCGAAGTAGAGAAAAAAAAGTAAAGGGATGGGTATTTGGTAAATTAAAAATACCATCCCGCCTAATCATTGTTATATGTAGAAATTTATATAAAAAGGTGGCGGGATGGTTTATACTTTATAAAAAGGTGACGGGGTGGCATTCTGCCTCACTTTGAGCACTGTATATATATATATATATATATATATATATATATATATATATATATATATATATATATATATATATATATATATATATATATATATATATATATATATATATATATTTACATCTAATGATTGCATTTAGCATGAAACTTATAGTTGTGAAAAATATGTAGTTTTATTTATAAATAATATATGTAAATACAGCTCTGTTTTAATTTAAATAATTTTAAGATATACCCAAGCACTAATACGTATACATAAATCACGTATACATAAATAATAATAAATCATAAGAAAATGAGTGCTACCTGTTCAAAATTGTCAAAACTTAAGTCTTGACATTTTGCATCTAACTTGTAGAACATAACTTCTTGCTCTAGCTGGTATTGCCTTAAAATTGCTTTGTTTAACTCATTAGTTTGAGCCTCTAACTGAATAAATAAAATAATAAAAATAAAATAATAAACTAATCATTAATTTAATTTTTCATTAGCTTAAATATTAAATATTTATACAAAATATTTTATTGTATGTTATATACTTAATAGCGCAAATATCAAACGTAATTTTTACACAACTTTTTGACGTAACTGTCATTCATACTTTATAAGTGGTTTATATAATGTTAATTACTTCTTTTATCTTATCGCTTAAACAATATTTTTAGACTTGTTAAAATATTAAAACATGATGAAAAATGGCTTACATGAAAAGGCTTACCGCTTACATTGAATGGCACACATAGCATGCCTAAATGGTGCACCAGTTTAAGCTTTAAATCAAGGCCTGCTATATACTAATATATATATATATATATATATATATATATATATATATATATATATATATATATATATATATATATATATATATATATATATATATATATATATATATATATACATTAGGTACTTTTTTAATTACCAACAAGTCTTTACAAGTTAGCTTTCTGATAAGCTGCTAGTATCTGCAATAAATGAACTATAAAAGCAGCTTGTTGCATTTTAACATCAAATATATCTTAAAACATATTGCCCATTTACCTAAAAAGTTAATTTTTAAACTATTTTAAAATAGTAAACTTTTTTTTAACACCTAGTATTGATTTAAGATTAATATCAATTAGGACCATTAGGCCCAAATAAAATCTGAAAATATAAACATTTTTAATTTGTTAACATGTTGGCATTTAACACAACAAAAATAGTAGCATATTTTATAATATAACCTCATTTTTTAATTATCAGGGTTCAAGGTGTTGAAAACCAGCAACCCTTCTACCCGCCTACTGACCTAATGAGAGGATTAACTAGTTATCAGTTATTTAAAAAATATATAGATATAAGATTGGTTACCCACTACCTAGTCAGATCAATAGAACGGGACAGAGGGGCAAAAATGTACAGAAAATATTTATGATTCTGCATAATTGTTGAAATAAGATTAGGTAAAATAATTTTAATTTATCTTAAAACTGCAATTTAAGCAGCTTCATGACCCATAATCTTTTTTCTTAATCACAGAGTAAATCATAAATAGCGGTGATGTTTATCTGACTGGATAAACTAGGTATTAGTGGTGAGCATCTTCGAAACACTGGTAATAATAAATGCAATTCTGAGGAGAAGTTTATCACCAACACTACATATATTATGATTACACAAAAGCAATAATGTTTTTTCTTTATCTTATACCTCCTATCGTTTTTTTTTTTTTTTTTTTTTTTTAAATAATGATATCTCTATGCATATGTATATTTGTGGTAAAATAAGTTAAACATTCATATTTAATGAAGATTTATGTTTACTTCATGCACCCTGTTTTGTTTTAGGTATACTTTAACGATAAAATTACTGTTGAGTATGATTGTGTATAACCTTTTTCTTCTTAAAATAATCTGTGTTTATTCTGAACTCCTGTTCATTTTTCTTTGTTTTTATAACTTTCCTCCTTTATATAAAAAGTTTATCCAATAGAAATGTTTCATATTTCTGTGGGATTTCATTGCTGAGTCTAGTTCAAGCACCGCAGATTACCTGCATCAAATATAACAAAAATATTTATGGTTCTGAATTGTTGAAAAGAGATTAGATAAAATAACTTTAATTAATCTTAAAACTGCAATTTAAGCTGCTTCATGACCCATAATCTTCTTTTTGTATTATATTTCAAATAAGCTAAAAAAGAAAATTAAGTTACTAATTAAATCATTAAATGCAATGGAACAACGAGATCAAAAGCTCAAAATTGATCAAAAAGAAATCAAAATTGTTTAAAAGTACTTTTTTTACTTTTTTTTTCTAGTTAAACAGTTAAAATTTTTTTTTTTTTTTTTTTTTTTTTTTCTTTATTTCCAAAGCTGCAAGCAACCAATTCCAAAATCTTAATTTCCAAAGCTGCAAGCAACCACTATTAGAGTTGAAAGTTACTGAAAGAGAAAAGATCCTTTATTCAGCAAGATGACTAACAGACAACTTGCAATTTTTAACATAAAACATAAACTTGAAAGATTGCAAATTATATAAAATAGGAAAAATAGACAAATAAAAAATTTTAGAGTACTTAGGAATAGTAACAGTAAAGGGATGAGACTTAATTGAATGACGAGTAACACAAGAATAAATTTTAGTAGATGCACAAGAGACGCTAGCTCATTAGAGCAGCGCTTATTATAGTATTTATAGAACAGAGAAAGACAAGCAACATTACGACAATGTGACAATGATTGAAGGTTGACTGCAAAACCAGGTCCAACTATGTTTACAATGCGTTATTGCACCTTGTCTAAAAGTAAAAGGCATCTTTCAAAGATCAGCTTCAAATATGGCAACAGTAGTCCATACAAGGACAGATTTTAGAATCATAAAGATAAAGAATTCGGGAGTAAGAAAGAGGCAAGCACAATAAAGAGATACAATCTTAGCAGATGTTCATTTTAAAATGGACTTGATATATGGTTTCCAGGAGATATCGGTATATAAAAGTTAATACTAAAATACTAAAGGCAGATGATTCATTGAGTACCTTACCATTCATTAATACAGAAAGCTCAAGAATAAATGGTAGTATCATCAGTGAATAATGCCACCTTAGATGTGAAGTTACAGGAAATAAAGAGTGCTGTCCATCGAGGAAAACTTTTATACAATTGGTAAGGAAGGATTCAATAGTAAGATGTTACCTGATATGCCATAAGAAGAAATCTTATGGAGAAGACCAGCATACCAAACTTTATCAAAGGTTTTAGAAATCAAGAGCGATAGCCTTAACCTCTCCACATCTCCAATGCATGATAAAACCTATCAGTTATTATCCTTAACAAATCAGCATTAAAACAAAAAAATCAAAATCCATATTGATGATCAGAAATAAGTTACAAGATTCAAGATAAGAGAGTGTTTGTTAATTAAAAATTCAAAAACCTTGTTTATGAAAGAAAGAAGACTAATGGAATGGTAGTTAGACTAGTCAGATTGCTCTACAGTACTAAAAATAGGGATAGCAGATGCCGCTTTCTAGCAGGCTGGAAAACAAGATTCTGATATGCACTTGTTGCAGTTTTGAACTTTTGAAAAAATTTGAAAAAGTTTGACAGCTCTGGAGAACACTTCTGCAAGATTATAACAGGTATGTTATTTGGAGCTGAAAAAGAGTGTAAGCTGAAAATCACTTTAGATACAGAGGCTGGAGTGAAATCAATGTCAATCAGCAGACCAACTTGTTTGTTGGCTATATTAGGTAAATATGATTCAAGAGGAATCAAGTGATGAGATTAATGAGAAGTGCTTCTAAAACAAATATAAAAATATCTCTAAAACAAATATATAAATATCTCTCAAACAAATATATAAATATCTCTCAAACAAATATATAAATATCTCTTAAACAAATATATAAATATCTCTAACACAAATATATAAATATCTCTAACAGAAATTGTCAACTTTCTAACACGCAGATAATTCGAATCATTTGCTTTCTCTATTCAACTTATGTCTTGTTTCTGATCCTAGTAAGCTCTCAGTTTCTTTACATTCATCCTTTGGTGCTTATGATCACAGTTTGATCTCTCTAAAACTATTATCTCACTCCTCTTCTTCACCAGAATTGGTGATCGCTCTTGGGTAGAAATCTTTTGTGTTCCTTCTGACAAATGTACTTCTTATGTAACTTCTTTGATTCAGGCTGGCAATCTTTTATTCTCTTTCAAAGACTTAAAGTCAAGCCCTTTATGGTTTCTTCTTTATGGTTTTCTTCTAATTGTGCTACTACAATTTCCAATCATAACCATTACATCCATATCTATTGCCGAAACTATTTTCCAGATAGCAAATGTCTGATTACTATTGCTTGATTGATTACTAGCAAATGTCTGATTACTATTGCTTGATTGATTACTAGCAAATGTCTGATTACTATTGCTATTTGTCTAACGCCAAAGCCCGCTATTCTCAGGTCACAAAATCTCGTATTTTATCTCAAAAATAAGGCTCCAGAGACTTCTGGAGAATCTTTAAAAGTGTCTATATAAAAGTAAATCTGTTATTCCTCCTCTCTTGCATGGTTCAGATTTTGTAGCTTCATCTAAAGACAAAGCTGAATTGTTTGCTAGAACCTTTCATCAATATCATCTACTGATTCCACTAGTTGTATTCTACCTGATATAGCCGTCAAACAAGTTGATCCATTGCTTGACATTCATATCACTAACTTCTGTATCTAAATTGATTTCCTGCTTAGACTCTTCTACAGCTTGTGGTCCGAACAACATACCTACTATAGTCTTGCAGAAGTGTTCTCCAGAGCTGTCATCTATACTTTCAAAATTATTTAACAAGTTCTTATCATAGTCTTGTTTTCCAGTCTGTTGGAAAGCGCCATCTGTTATCAAAAATTCTTGAGAGCAATCTGACTCATCTAACTACAGTCCCATTAGTCTTCTTTCTATCATAAGCAAGGTTTTTGAGTCTTTAATTAACAAACACTTAATCTCTCATCTTGAATCTAATAACTTACTTTCTGATCATCAATGTGGATTTTGATCTTCTCATTCTACAGCTGATTTGCTAACAATAATTTTTTTTTTTTAAATACAGAACTATCCAGAAAATTGTTCTACAAAAATTTGGCACAATTTAGGAAAATATTTAACAGTGAATTAATATTAATTAATAGTTAAATAACGTTATAAGGCTTTAAAGTTGTCAATTTTTACCATTTGTAAAAAATTGAGGGATTTAATGGTGTTTACGAGGTGTGTTCAAAAATTAAGGTGACTTTTCAAGTTTTACGGGCAACGTACTTTCGATTATCATTTATTTTGTTTTGTTATGTTGGTACACTCTTCCGGAACATCTGTACCAAGTTTCAAGTGCATAGCATTTTTTGTTTGGTTGTGAGAGGCATAAAGGTTATAAGCGTTTTGCGTGCTCGGCAATTTTTTGCTATTGAAAAATATGGATCAAAGGACTTGCATCAAATTTTGTGTAAAAAATAAAATAAAGTGCTCCAAAACACTTGAAATATTGAGTGGCATACGGTGAAACTGTTCTGAGTAAAAAAAATGTTTACAAGTGGTACAAACTCTTTCAAGATGGCCGGGAAGATGCCAATGACGAGCCTCGCTCTGGACGCCCAACCAACTGATGAAAACGTTTAACCAGTAAAGAAAATTGTTTTGGAAAATCATTAAATCACAATCAGAGAAGTTGCTGAGGATGTTGGGATATCGCTTGGCTTGTGCTTGCTTGAAGGATGTTGGCTTGTGCCATGGCTTGGCATCGCTTGGCTTGTGCCATGAAATTATTTCTAATGTTTTGTGTATAAGACGTGTGTCAGCGAAGTTTGTTCGGAAATTGCTAAATTTTGACCAAAAGAACCATCACATGAGCATCGCTCAACAACTGTTGAATGATGTCAACAACAACCCAGATTTACTCAAAAAGGTCATAACTGGTGACAAATCATGGGTATATGGTTATGATATCGAAACCAAAGCCCAATTGTCCCAATGGAAGAGCCCAGGTGAGCCAAGACCGAAAAAAGCACAACAAGTTTGATCAAATGTCAAAGTTTTGCTCACTGTTTTATTCAATTACCATGGCGTGATGTATCAGGAGTTCTTACCATATGGCTGTACGGTCAATAAACAGTATTATCTTTAAGTTATGCATTGTTTGCGAGAAGCAATACGAAGAAAAGTTCCAGAATTGTGGAAAAACAATTCATGGCTTTTGCATCACGATAATGCCCATGCTCACTCTTGTGAGAGATTTCTTGGCCAAAAACAACACCACAATCATGCCTCAGCCACCATATTCACCGGATTTGCCCCCATGTGACTTTTTCTTGTTCCCAAAACTAAAGAGACCTATGAAAGTATGGAGATTTACAACAATTGAAGAGATAAAGACTGCATCTTTGGAAGAGCTCAAGGCTATACCGAAAAATGCTTATGAGAAGTGCTTTGAGGATTGGAAAAACCATTGGCATAAGTGTATTGTATCTGAGGGGGATTACTTGAAGGGGACAACATAAATATTGATAAATAAATAAATATTTTTTCTTAAAAATACAAAGTCACCTTAATTTTTGAACACACCTTGATTATATGACTATAATTTTTAAAACATTGTACTTGAATGTCTGAGATTGAAAATTTAACCTATTAAAATAATGCAGATAACCATGTAAAAATCATGAAAATCAGAGATGGTTTCCCATATGCCATTGGTTGAAATACAATAAACTTATAATATTAATAATACCTTACCAACTGAGATTTTATATTTAACTCTTCAACTTTCTGATGATGCAAATTTTTTAAGTTCATTAAACTGTTTTTCAAAAATTCCTCATTTTCTTTTAGCAAATTATTTTCTTCTAAAAGCTTTTCTTTTTCCTTTTCTGCTTCTCTTAATTTAGCCAGGAGTATAACTGTTTCGTTTTCGAAAGCATCTAAATTTTATAGTAATAAATATTATCAAATCTGAATAAAAATAAATATTTAAACAACTTTGTGATAAATCTTATTTTTGTAATAATAGTTTTCTTTAACAAAAAGTTATTATTATAATCAGAATTGCCACTGCCTGGGTTTTTTCGTAGAAGAGAGCCAAAAAAATCTTATTTAAATTAATGCACTGAAGTTAATTTATATAAGAATTTTTCAATACTCTCCTACGTTTAAACCCAGCCAGTGGGAACACTGATTATAATGATAAAAGTCCCATTGAAATTTCTAATCAAAATTTGTATCAATATAGTTTTAAGTTTGACAGGTTGATAGGAACAGGGACTGTATAGATCCTTGTAGTTATTGCAAATGTTTTATTTTTAAAATGAATCTTGGTGCTAGATATAAAATTTGGTAAAATTAGCCAACTAAAACAAAAGGTCAACTAAAACTTAAAATTTGTTTAAATGTTATTTTCTAATAGATTTAGAAAAAAACTAAAAGATTTTTGTTTAAGAGGAAAAAAAAAATACTGATCTTTAATGATCTTCATCTCTAGTTAAATTTAACACTAGAACTACGGTAGGGTCATTTTGACTCCAAAAGCTCACGTTTTTATTATTATTTTTCATAAAAATAATTTTTAAAGGTTTTCCTTCAATGACAATTATTTATTTGACCATTAACACATATAGTTCAAAATACTTGTGTAAAAATTTTCTGCATAAGATTTTGAGAGGTGCTATAACTAGAACTTCAAAAAGGTATTTTTGAACCCTTACAATTAACTCAGAAAATAAGGGAAACATAATATTAATGATCACAATAATTAAAAAAAAAACATGAATAGAAGGCTTAAATGTTTTAAAAATACTCTAGAAATGTAAAAGTCTAAATCAGGAGTCAGGCAAAGATGTCAAATGAAGCATTTAGTACACTTGAGCTGAACACATTTCTCAGTAGTACGTTTACCGCAGGTTAGTCTCAGACAAAATGAGCAAATATCTGCAGTCTTGTTGGTGCAATAACTACTGCATTTTTTTCGTTTGTTGTTAATTTTTGAAGAGAACTTAGAAAGTAAGGGTTCACGTTGTCTTGTGCATGTTATTAAATTCTCAACAAGCATCTTCAGATATTGCCTCCTCGATAGGCTTTGTCCTGTTACTTCTTTGTAACATGTAAGATGTAACATGTAACATGTTACTTCTTTGTAACATGTAACACTTGTAAAGAATAAATGCATTTACTCCGGCCAAATCTAACATATTGAAGAAGCATGCTAGGGACCACCATCAGACTCCAGATTTGACAGAATAGGCTTTTCACATCTGGTCAAGTGAATCAACACCACACTTGGTTTCATTGTAGAAAACTACAGTGTTGGGTTTACTCTTTCTATTCCCTTCTTCAACAGTCTCATATTTATGTCTTGATGACAGAAGATGAACATTTTTGGTTGCCTTTACTTTAGATGAAGTCAAAAGTACCCCATTATCTTCACTGAAGAAGGTAGAGTGATACATGGGTTTTCCTTTTACATTACAGTCTATATTTGGAATTTTGCATCGGTTGCTTTTAACTATTCCAACAAATGTGGTTCGCTTCTATTTCAAAGCCAAAATAAAGGGAAATTGTGTGAAAATGTTGTCTGCAGTAATATTGTATCCTTTATTTAAATATGATTCCGCCAGTGTGAGAACTACATGTTCGGCCAGTGTTTCACCAGCTCTTGCATTATTCTTACCTATAAATATAAACAAACAACAATCACACACTATCCTTTCTTACCATTACCTTCTGCACAAAATATATATATAGTCTCATGCATTTACCAAGTTATGTCATTCTTTGGAGGAAATATTTTGTGTCCAAATATGCTAAGATCCAAAACTTAATGCCTCATTTGCCACACATTTGATGAAGTATCTAAACTTACTTGTATTTTTCTTAAGATTGTCTCATCAATTAGAAGTGAAAATGATGACTTTGCCTCTTCCTTTAATGAAATTGTTCTTTTAGCTGTAGCAGATGGCCTAGATGTTGCAATGAAAATATTGTGTGATTGTGTGTCTTCCACATACATGATTACAACTTTCAATAGGCCATCGGGTTCATTTTTAGCTTTTAAAGGATCACTCAAATCAATATCTGTTGATTCTTCTGGATCTAAATCTGATTCACTACTCTCATCAATGTCACTTACATTGTCATTAGTTGATTCATCACCTGATTCGTCTTCACATATTTTTTTTTAGCTTAGCTATTTCTTCAAAAATATTGCATGACATAATTTGTAAAATAAAAAAACAAAGTTACTACGACCTAATAATACTCTATGATAAATTAAGAAACCTTTTTAATGCAAAAAAGTCAAAATCAAGTAAAAAATTACTTTGTCATTACAGTATAATGACTTTTAACTAATAAAATTTATATAATATTGCATAAGGTTCAAAATTTGAACTTCTATATATTCAAACTTAAGTTTGAATATAATAGTCAACTTGTTTGATTATCTCAACACCATGAATAAATTAGATGTGGTTTATGCTAGCCTAAAATCTGAAAATTGCACAGATGCTCAAATACGATATTTCTATTCAAAGGTAAGCAACTTTATTTTTACAAATAAATAATTATTTATTTATCATTTTTTATTATTTAATTAGAAGCATGTATATGCATATGTATAGAAGAATTATGTACATGTTTTCTTTTGTTGTAGTTACAAGGATGCGTTAAAACAAAATATCCTCAAATTGAAGGTGTTATACTTTGGCCTATAGAGATACATCAGTTCCTTAAATCGAAAGGTCATAAACCAAGTAGCACATACGTTGGATCTGGTACAAATGTTACAATCAAAATGGTTTTAGACAAATGGTTCAAAATGGTTCTATAATTGAGCTCACTTATCATTATCTTATGTTAAAACAGTAGAAATAAATGATTAAAATAATGTTGTTTTCTCTAATGTTTTTTTATTCTACAAAAATTTGAAATACATGATTAAATTAGGCCTTAAAAGAACTACCAAGTCCCGAGACATGTTGTGTTCATATTAAAGAGAATGTTAAAAAAAAATGTCTAAGCAAATTTTTTTTGATTAAAACTAATTAATAAATGTATACCAAGAAAAACATATCTTGTTGTTTTAGTCGAAGCTTGTCTTCTCCATTTTCTGCGGTATTTTGAGTATGTAAAATAAACACGATTTTCCAGGCGCATTATACAGACTTGATAATTTATTCAAGCACATTTAATTCATAGGAGTTTTAGTGCATGATGTCATAGATTTTTTTTTGTTTGTTTAAAACACTGATTGTTACTTTTTACATACAATTTCCAAATCATAGTCATTTTTATTATATTTTTAAGTTTTAAAATGTGTTTGTAAAAAAATTAAAAACAAAATAGTATTTTATTTGCGCAACTTTTTTTAAATAATCATCTAGACCACGTGTATTTTGATTTCTTTTGTTATAAGTTTTTCTTTCAAAATATTAGATAAAATAATTTTTAACCTAAATAATAATGCACTTTTATTAATTTATTTTGTAATTATTTTAAAAAAAATTACTAACACATTTTTTCTCTGATTTTCAAAAATGTATTTTTTGGTATTGAGGTGATCTTATTTCATTATTTATATTTCCATTATTATAACATCCAATATACATTATGGTGGGGGCTTAAAAATTAAAAAACTAATATATATTAATTTTTATTTTACAGACATACATGGAAACATAATTAACTTGAATGTTCTTAAAACATCTTGCGGAAGAATATAAAGAATATTCGCGAACACTAAAAACCCGCCAAATTTGCGAACAAACTAATTATATTGGTTCAAAAATTACGCTGACTAAGCGAAATAAATTTCTAGAGTTTTCTGATGAAATAAATGCGGTAGTGGTGTAGTGGTAGAGCGCTTGCTTCATAAGCGAGAGGTTCCGAGTTAGACCCCCACCATGTCCCTGGTAGTACCGCGCTCAACTTGTTTCTCCGCGCAGTGGTCTTGTTCATCAAGGTTCGTGCTTCGGAGTTATAGAGTTGAGAGAGGGTTATAATCACAATTAAGTAGCCTCTTTGTCTGTAGTGGCCTTCTCGGCCCTGGGGAGGTGAAATAACAAAACAAAAACAAAAAAATGTTTTAGGAATTGTATTTTTTACGATTTGTTGCCTAAATAATAAGCCACATCTGTGAAGCCGTAAATCTTTTAAAGTATTATCATTTGTTTACAAAAATAAATGTTTTTTGACAAAAATAAAAAAATAATATATATTTTTTAAATTGTCAAAATTTTGAAAGTTAATTACAAATTATATATTTTATTAGTATATTCTTAATTTTTATATCTTTTCTTAGTGCTTGGTTTAATTAATTGTTCGTTAGATTTGTAAAAAACTAACGAACAATTAATAAAACAAGTAACTATAGTTTTAATAAAATAAGTAATAATAGTTAGCTATTTTAGTAAAATTTAATAATTTCTAGAATGTTTCCAATGACGTCATGCACTAAAACTCCTATGAATTAAAAAGGCTTGAATAAATTATCAAGTCTGTATAATGCACCTGGAAAATCGCATTTATTTTATATACTCAAAATACCTCAGAAAGTGGAGAAGACGAGCTTCGACTAAAACAACAAGATTTGTTTTTCTTGGTATACATTTATTAATTAGTTTTAATCAAAAAAAATTTGCTCAGATGTTTTTTTTTAACATTCTCTTTAATATGAACACAACATGTCTCAGGACTTGGTAGTCCCTTTAAGCCACACAAGGTTTACACATCTTTTGAAAATCAAGAAGTTTTGTAGAATTGTAGAATTCAATATTTTTTTATTAAATTTATATATATTGGGTCAAAATGACCTTATCTTAGTTCTAGGTATGTGAAAAGCTTTTCAGAAACATTATACTAGCAATCTTTTCTTATCATCAACAAATATATCTATCAAACAAAGTCAAAGTTAAGCTTCTGTATGCAAATG